AACAGGAGCAGCAGCAACAGCAGCAGCTGCTGCTGCAGCTGCTCCTACAGTAACCGCAGCAGCAGCAGCAAGAGCTGCTGCTGCTACCTGGCATACAATTTTGCTTTGATTTTTCATATATATTCACTATATATATATATATTATATATATTATATATTATATATATAATATATACGTTATATATATAATATATACATATGTATAATATATAATATATAGATATATATATTATATTTATTATATGTAAATATATAGTTCCCAATAAGTGTTTTTCCTGTCATCCCTGTGCAAGCCCGATCGATGCTGGGATACTGCTGCTGCTGTTGCTGCTGTAGCTGCTGCTGTTGCTGTTGCTGTTGCTGCTGCAGTTGCTGCTGCTGCTGCAGCAGATAAGCAAAGTAAAGAAGAACGAAGCCGAGGTGTTGCTGTCTGTTTTTCTTCTTTTTTTGTTGTATTTATATTAAATAATTTTAATTTATTTTGTTTTATTTATTTGTTTACATTTTATATAACCCCCTAAACCCGCTGCTGCTGTTTGCTGCTGCTTGCTGCTGCTGCATGCAGCAGCTGCGGGGCTGTCTGCAGCACCATCTCTCATTGATTTTACTTCAATTGTTTAATTTAATTTGTTTTTTTCTTTTTGTTTTTATTGTCTTTATCTTCACTTCTTTATAGAAGACACGAATTTGCTGCAGAACAGCAGCAGCAGCAGCAACAGCAGCAGCAGCAGCTGGGGGGGAGTGCTGCTGCAGCAGTAAACGGAGGGATTGTTATTGTTTTTTTTCGTTTTAAATAAATTGAATAATAATAAATATAATTAATTATTATTAATTAATTTATTAAATTATTTATTTTGTATAATGGAGAGGGGAAAGATAACATCTCTGCCTGCTGCAGCACATGCAGCAGCAAACTCTCCTGCTGCAGCACATGCAGCAGCAAACTCTCCTTTTCCTTCGATTCCTTGCTCTCCTTTGCTGCTGCATCCTCATAACCCCCTAATATTTGCTGCTCATGGCTGCTGCATGCGCGTCTTCAACTATGAGACGCAGCAGTGGGTCCTGGATCAGCAGCAGCAGCAACAGCAACAGCAACAGCAGCAGCAGCAGCCGCAGGAGCAGCAGCAGCAGCAACACTCTATGGATATTGCTGCAGCAGATTGCATTTGTATGGACTGCGGATGCCGCAGCAGCAACCTCCCGGTTCTTGCCAGGGCTCCCTGCACCAAAGACAGCAGCAGCAGCAGCAGCAGCAGCAGCAGCAGCAGCAGCAGCAGCAGCAGCAGCAGCAAATGCGTGTGGCTGACAGCAGGAGATGACAAACTTCTCTGTCTGTGGGAAGACGAGACATTCAATTTGCTGCAGCAGCGCATGCAGAGGAAGAAAGCCTCTGCTGCTTGCTTCGCCCGCACCGGCCCACAGCAGCAGCAGCAACAGCAGCAGCAGCAGCAACAGCTGCAGCAGCAGCAGCGGGTGAGCGTGCTGCTGTGTGATAAATTCGGAGATGTCTTTTTGCTGCCTCTTGAATCTTTGAGCGGCCACCAAAAGCTCGCAGGCGATGTGATGGTAAGGAGAATGCATGCAGCAGAAGCAGCAGCAGCAGCAGCAGCAGCGGCAGCAAGTGCAGCAGCAGCAGCACAAGAAGCAGCAACACCGTCATCCGACTCAGCACAAGATACCCAGGCAACAGCAACAACAGCCGCAGCATCAGCAGAAGCAGAGAAAAGTGCAGATCCTCCAGCGGGTCAACTGAAAGACAGCAACAAAAGCAGCAGCAGCAGCAGCAGCAGCAACAGCAGCAGCAGCAGCAGCTGGTGCGAGGTTGGTGATGAGAGCGACGATGAAGATGTTCCCATAATGACGCACTTAACAACCGTAACCTGCATGAAGCTCGTTGACCTGCAGCAGCAGCAGCAGCAGCAGCAGCAGCAGGAGCTGCGGGAGTTGCTGCTGACGGGAGATCGTGACGAGAAGATTAGGGTTTGTTTTGCTGCTTCTCCTTTTGAACTGCAATCTGTGCTCTTAGGCCATCTTCACTTTGTTGCAGATATTGCGCCTATTCTCACTTGCTGCTGCAGCACCTGCTGCAGCAGCAGCAGCAGCAGCAGGAGCAGCAGCAGCAGCGGCAGCAGGAGGAATGGCGACAGCAGCAGCAGCAGCAGCAGCACGAGTGACAGCAACGACGCGAACAATAACAGCAGCAGCAGCAGTTTGCTGCTGCAGCACAAGTGGGTGGTTAGCAGCAGCGGCGACTGCACGCTGCATTTGCGGTGTATGGACAGCAGCAGCAGCAGCAGCAAGCTGCTGCCTCCTTCTGTTTTGTCTCTGAATCCCTCAACTCTCTTTTCTAACTTCAGCAGCATCAAGCCTCTGCTGCAGCAGGAGCTGCTGGAGCAGCTACAGCAAGCAGAAGAACGCAACCAGCTGCAGCAGCTGCAGCAGCAGCAGCAGCAGGTGCCTGCGGTGCTGCGAGGCCATTTGCTGCCGCTTAAAGTGTTTGTCGATGAACAGCAGCAGTTAATAGTTGTGCAGACGCTTCAACTAAGAGGCCTCCTCCTTATCCCCTATCGCTTGCAAGCTCTGCAGCAGCAGCTGCAGCAGCAGCAGCAGCAGCAGCAGCAGCAGCGGGTGTATGGGGAGGCTTTGGTTGTGCCTTTGGATTATTATGTCGGTTCGCTGTTAATAGTGCGGCACAGAGCAGCAGAAATTGCTGCACTTCCGATCTTTGCTAACATTCACCAGCAGCAGCAGCAGCAGCAGCAACAGCAGCAGCAGCAGCAGCAGCAGGAGAGCGTGCTGATTGCGTGGGCGGTTGATAGGCAGGGGCTGCTGCAGGCCCCCGTCTGTCTGGAGTTATCTATACTCAAACGCATGCAGCAGCAGCAGCAGCAGGAGAAGAGTGCATCGCTGCTACCGCTGCTGCAGGGAAGCATGCCTCCCTCAGGCCAGCAGCAGCAGCAGCAGCAGCAGCAGCAGCAGCGAATGTGCTACTGGTGGAAGCAAACGAAAAACCCAAACGCCCCGACGCAGGAAGAGAGGAGAGCCAAACGACTGAAACACAAACATCTGCAGCAGCAGCAGCAGCAACAACAGCAGCAGCAGCAGCAAAAGCAGCAACAGCAGCAGAAAAAAGAGCAGCAGCAGGACACGTGTCAACCCGTTTAACCGGGGAGGAAAAACTTTCTTTGCTAGCTACCTAGCTAGCTAAGCAGCTAGCTAGCTAAGCAGCTAGCTAGCTAGCTATGCTATCGATCTATATATCTATTTATATATCTTTCTATCTACCTATCGAGCTAGCTAGCTAGCTAGCTAGCTAGCCAAACCTGCAATTTATTTAATTTGTGTCAAGTTTAGCTGCAGCAAAGCCAGCTTCAGCCTTACATCTTGCTAGCTAGCTAGCTAGCTGGCTAGCTTGTCAGCTAGCTAGCTAGCTAGGTGTCTAGCTAGCTAGCTGGCTAGCTACCCGTGATGGAGCCTTCTTGGCCGCCTAGGCAGCCATGTACTTCATAATCAGGTAGCTAGCTACATAAGCAGCTAGCTAGCTAGATAGGCAGCTAGCTAGCTATCTACTGAGATAGCTAGCTAGATAAGCAGCTAGCTAGCTAGATAAGCAGCTGGATAACTAGCTAGCTATCTAGATAAGCAGCTATCAATCAATATATATATATATATATATATATCTATATAGCTAGCTAGCTAGAGACTCCAGAGAATAGTAAGGGTGAAATAAAAAGCCAGCGTGTGCAGCTCAGGCAAGTGCTGCTGCTGCTGCTGCAGCAACAGCAGCAACAATTGCTGTTGTTGGTTTGTTAGAGTTTGAGGGCAGCTTCTTCTGCTGCAGCATCAACGTCAAGGTGCTGCAGCTCCAGCAGCAGGGATTGCGCTTCTGCTGCTGCTGCTGCTGCTTCCTCTCCCTCCGCTCCCGCTACTTCAAGTGGTCCCTCGTGCTGCTGCTGCTGCTGCTGCTGCTCTTGCTGCTGCTGCTGCTGCTGCTCCTCAGAAGGTGGCGACTGCCTCTTTTTGCGTCGTTTGGGGTCTGCCGGGTTGCTGCTGCTTCTGCTGCTGCTGCCGCTGCGGGATCGCCGCTGCTTTGCTGCTGCTCCCGGTAGAGCCTGCTGCTGCTGCTGCTGCTGCTGCAGCATGCCCATCGCCTTAAGGATGCGTTTGCTGGTGTAGCGACCCGCAGCTCCAAAGTCTTCTTCCTTTTCCTGCTGTGAATCTTCTTGTTGTTGCTGCTGCTGCTCTAGTTGCTGCTGCTCTAGCTGCTGTTGTTGCTGCTGTTGCTGTTGTTGCTGCTGCTGCTCCCTGACGCCACCAGCTGCTCCTTCCGACGGGGCTTCTGTAGCTGCTGCATCCGTTGTTGTTGCTGCTGTTGTGTCTGCTGCTGCAGCGCGAGCTGCTGCTTCGGTCTTTGCCGTTGCATCACCAGCTGCTGCTGCTTCTGCTGCATTTGCTGCTGTTCCCTCTGATGCCACTCCTGCTGCTACTGCTCCTGCTGCTCCTGCTGCTGCTCCTTCTGCTGCTGCTGCTGTTTGTTTTGCTGCTCCATAGAAGCTGGTTATGTTGGTTTGACGAAGAAATGCAGATTCTGCTGTATACCGCTGCACAGCAGGGAGAAGGGTCTCCTCTATCTAACAAACAAATAAACAAAACAAATAAATAAATTAAATTAAATTAAATTAAATTAAATTAAATTAATATATTTAAATGTTTTAAACCAAACAGTGCAACGAAATCAATCAAGCTAACAGCTACAGCAGCAGCAACAACAGCAGCAGCAGCAGCAGCAGCATCAGCAGCCGCAGCAAAATCAGAAGCAACAACCGCAACAACAGCTTCAGCAGCAGCAGCAAAAGCAGCAGCAACATGTGCAGGCGCAGCCAAATCAGCAGCAAGAGCAGCAGCAGCAACAGCAGCAACAACAGCATCAGCAGCAACAGCAGCAGCAGCATTCATTACCTGCTGTACACTGAGCTGCGTATACTTGCAAAGTATCTCTG